TAAATAAGTAATTAATTTCATACTTCAATTCAGGTTACAATTTTTCAAAGTATAACTCTGCAAGTTCAAACATTACAAAATAAACCTAACATTTATGACCTGCCAATTGTACCTGCTTTCAGAAATTTTTCTGCACCTGTTCAAGACCCTTCTGAACCACATGGAGACAATGCTATTTTTCATTTAAAAAAAGGGATCTATAACAGTATAAATGGAAAAACTACTAATTTGTCAGTTATATGTAAGTATAATCTGAAGGGTTGCTATTCAAATATAGCTGAAGCTACACATCATTGAACCATTTTTTCTGTCACTAGTGAATTAATTTTTGTTGAGAAATCAGTCTTTATGTTGTATGAAACAATAGAATAGAATTATTCAAAGCAAGAAACTTAAAATCACAGTTGTGTGATAAAACAGAACATGTAAAAAAAAAAAGAAAAAGAGATGAAGAGCTCACAAAAATTATAGAAATTTTTGAATCCAAAAACTGATATCAATAAAATAAGAATTATTACCATGTAACAGTTGAAGATCAGGACACTGAAGACATTAAAGATGTCGAAGATACTGCCACTATTATTGATGATTGATACACACTTGTTAAAAATTATATTTGACCCTTACTTTATATTAAAATTTGTAATTTTTTTTTTGCTTTGTCATTATATTCAATGTGGTAGACCAAGTTATGGTCAAGGCCCTATTTATCAAAACAAACTTTGCTTTTTGACATTAATAATAATTTTCATTAAAAAAATGACAAGTTTCACCTTTATAGTAAAGAAAAAAATATATATCAAAAATATATATTAAAAAAATACCTCTTTTAAGAATGGATCTTTATTCTTATTGGAATCTTTTATGATCTTAATTGCTACTTCTTCATATGACCCATATTGATTTAAATACTTGCTTGGTTTAAAAAAGTGGCTGGACATAATTTATTTTCAATATTTATGCCTACTAGATTGCAAAAAATTTTAATAATAATAATACAGAACGATTATCTCTATTTTTTAGCCAATCAAATTTTCTTGGCCCATGATGGCACAATCTTTGATCTAACATGTGACCAAGATTAGCATGTCACATGATTGATCAGGTGGGTTTAAACAAAAATTGCTTTGACACGTAAAAAAGTCTAATCAATCAAAGATTTCGCTCTGTAACTTTTTTTTGTTATACTATATGAATGGATTATTGTAAAAATTGCTGAAAAAAAATAGCATGTACATGAGGTGAATCAATTTTTTTGAATACTTACTAGTCTTTGAGTAATTCCCGCTAATGTAATAACTAAAAATGTCTAATTAATCAAAAATTTTGCTCTGTAACTTTTTTTTGTTATACTATACGAATTGATTATTGTAAAAATTGTTAAAAAAAATTAGCATATACGTGAGGTGAATTAATTTTTTTGAATATTTACTAGTCTTTGAGTATTTCGCGCTAATGTAATAACTAAAAATGTCTAAATAATCAAAAATTTTGCTCTGTAACTTTTTTTTGTTATACTATACGAATTGATTATTGTAAAAATTGCTGAAAAAAAATAGCATATACGCGAGGTGAATCGATTTTTAGATACTAGTATTTCGTTAGTAAAAGTTTGTCGATCGATTTATGCACAAAATCTAACAGTATCATTACCATTATTGGACCTCACATGATTACCAGGAACGGAGTATGCTTGCAATACGGTGCAATACGGAGTGTATGGTTTCCTGCCATCTAGAATGGCGTGTAAACAAAATCTTACATTTGATTGGATATCATGA